TACCAAAGATATATAACTGTGCATGAGGAACATTATGTTTTCCTTAGTATGAACAGAAAGATATCTCTGAGACCCTATCAGCTGATTTACACCATTAATCGTGCGGAATTCCTTCACTAATACGAAGCTTACAAACTTTCTCACTTGCCCAGAAATTTTTTAGTCACTCTTTTAAGCAGCTCTTAATCACCAGTTAGGTCTTCTTTAGATCGCCGTCATGCAAAAATATGGAATCGCTTAGTTTATCTTCATCATACGCTAGATGTCCTTCTTTGCCGATTATGAGTTTTCTTTGACATATGAATATAACCGTTAACACAAGAATCTTGGTGAGTGGATCAACGACACAATGATGAGCCGACGAAGATGTTCAAGCAGTCACTAGCTCATAATTTAAAGAATGTCGTCAGTCTTTCCAAATATCGTACCGTTTGTTGACTTTCGTGTCTTGTCGTGACATTATTTCTCGGACAAGACGATTTTCCATGAAACTTTTCCCAGTACATGTTTATTAAAAGGTGCTGTTCATAAAATTTATGCAAGCCATTTTTCACTTTTCTGTCTCCTGATCAAAATTGAGTGAGCTCTGCTATAGGCCTCTTCTGAAGCGAAGTCATAATAAAAAATTCAGTGGTAGCATACGTCCTCGGTATGGACGAAAACGGGTTTGACTTTCGTCTGAGGTCGAGTTTTTGCTCACCACTCAATTCTCTTAAATATATTTGAAGCATACAAACATGCAAAAAAAGCAGTAAAAACATTAGAATTCTCGAAAAAATCCGGAATAGAAAAATAGAAGGACCTATCGTTTTAGACTCCTACTGATAAAAGAACGCATTCGTTTTGTACTGAGTAGTTTCACTAGTCATGCTCAAATATTGATGGTGTTAATCATCCTATGACCCGTGACCTGATATGGAGGACGGCTAGGATAAGGGAACTGACCTCATGCAAATTGACAAAAAGTAGTCATAGAGTGATGCATGATAGATCTGCATAGAACGAGAATTGATTACTTCTCACCAAACCTTGCTCGAATTCCCCTTCTTCAAGCAATTATGAGAGTGCTAATATGATGGATTTTGCTTTGAAAATTCTTCCAATTATCCATCAAGCGACCTAATTTTAACACTATATTTAGATTCTTGATTTTCTTCTTTGAGCAGAACACGAGATGTTACATTAAACTTTATTCGATAGCTGACGTTTCGGCAGTTCGCCTTCTTCAGAGCCTGGAAAGGTCAAAATGTTTGCAATACAATCAGTCAAACACCTCCATTACTTCTTTAGAGAAAATCACCAGACCTAGATTTCAATCGCATCAAGCAAAAATCAACACTTAACATACTCACCGCTTTTTATATGTGTTCCACTGGATGATCCAAGTGGAGATCACCGGCAAGAGAGACACATAGGCTCGTAATGCACCCTACCCATCAAAACAACAGTCTTATATACTGGCTCATATCACGAGTGTTTACAAGGCATTCCTCCCTGCGGTTTATGGTTGGATTGGTCGTATTAATCCAAAATGCTTCCAAGATCTTTCGCGCTGATGTTTTTTGCTCCTGCGCAAGGATGGTGACTTCGATTTCAAAATCAACTCCGTCGTGCTTCTGTGCTCTATGCGTCCCTAGCGGGGTGTTTTGTCTATTAAGACGCTTGTCAGCTAGGTGTTCTTCTATGCGTGCATAGAGCGGCCTACCCGTTTCGCCTACATATTTATCACTACACGCTTTGCAAGAGATTAGGTAGACTGTACCTACGCTCATGCAATCACCGTCTCTGCCGTTAGGACATATTTTACAATCATTCATCATACAAAGACGGTCATATAAGCGGTTGCGAACTAGTTGGCGTTTTAGAGTATTCGGTGGTATTTCAATAATGGCCACCGATTGCTCTAAGCCCGCTCTTTTCAAACATCGTTTTATAGCTGTACTAACCTCATTTGAATAGAACGGGATGATAAACGGGACTTTCCTTTCAACTAAGTTTTCGTTCGGAGGCGCATTATTTCCTCTAAACCTAAGCCGAGGGGCTACGAATTCGTATCCATTAGAAGTGGCTATTTCCCGCGCCAGTTTCACGGATTCTACTCTCTGCTCCTCCCCGGTACATACATTGGCTGCTGTTCGAAACATGTTTTTTACTAGCGCCTTCTTCGTATGTGAGGGGTGAGAAGAGAGATAGTGAACCAAGATATTCTTACTACTTGGCTTTCGGTACCACTTCGTTATGTAGCCGCTCTCAGTTAAGCTTATTTGCACGTTCAAGAATGGAAGCAACCGCTTATATGACCGTCTTTGTATGATGAATGATTGTAAAATATGTCCTAACGGCAGAGACGGTGATTGCATGAGCGTAGGTACAGTCTACCTAATCTCTTGCAAAGCGTGTAGTGATAAATATGTAGGCGAAACGGGTAGGCCGCTCTATGCACGCATAGAAGAACACCTAGCTGACAAGCGTCTTAATAGACAAAACACCCCGCTAGGGACGCATAGAGCACAGAAGCACGACGGAGTTGATTTTGAAATCGAAGTCACCATCCTTGCGCAGGAGCAAAAAACATCAGCGCGAAAGATCTTGGAAGCATTTTGGATTAATACGACCAATCCAACCATAAACCGCAGGGAGGAATGCCTTGTAAACACTCGTGATATGAGCCAGTATATAAGACTGTTGTTTTGATGGGTAGGGTGCATTACGAGCCTATGTGTCTCTCTTGCCGGTGATCTCCACTTGGATCATCCAGTGGAACACATATAAAAAGCGGTGAGTATGTTAAGTGTTGATTTTTGCTTGATGCGATTGAAATCTAGGTCTGGTGATTTTCTCTAAAGAAGTAATGGAGGTGTTTGACTGATTGTATTGCAAACATTTTGACCTTTCCAGGCTCTGAAGAAGGCGAACTGCCGAAACGTCAGCTATCGAATAAAGTTTAATGTAACATCTCGTGTTCTGCTCAAAGAAGAAAATCAAGAATCATACTGAAGCATGCCGAGGTTAATAGACAGTCGGTCTTGGGAACTATATTTAGATGGAATTCGAGTGCCGATGAACTGAAAAACTGAGCGCTAGCATAGAGTGGATAAAGCAGTTTGGACATCAGTTGTCTGTAGGATCTAGCAATCGCAACTGAAAAAAAAGGAATTCTAAAGCTGTAAGCAAACTAACATTGAATTTGATTGGTTTCCTTCCAATCCCATAATACTGCTCGAATGCTGCAATGCATCTACATGATGATGACGAAAACCTGAAATTCCCATCAAATTGCAATAACTAGGCGGAAAGAATTTCGTAATTGTCGGATAATAAATAAATGGTAATTTGTGTGCGTTTTACTTCATTGTGCGGATCCTCATATTTCTAGCATTCAATCGCTTATCGTCTCCTCTTTGAAGGTCGCAGAATACTGGTAGAACGCGTCTCCTTATAGTCTCAAGCGTTCCATAGTGTGTTCGTGGTTAACCGCTGGATCGAAGAGTGTCGCGAGTGGGATGGTGAGGGTGAGCCCTGTTCGGCGACGAGCATCACGACCACGTGGCCACTCTCCCATCCCCTTAGCATCCCTTCCCCAAATGTTACCGCAAGTAGCGAAAATGTATTTGAACGACACGATGTGTAAAAAAAAGACCTTTTTTAAAAATCTTGAGCGGCTTACATCTAGTAAACCATCGTTTAACAGCTATGTTAACCTTGTTATTGTAGTAATATAGAACAAATAAGGTTGTAGTGGAGAGCAGAGCGTTACTCATGTCAAAGATGAAACCAAATTTTTTACAAGAATCAACACGGATTTTATGTCTTCAAAATTCATACAATTTTTCTCGTTTCGCAGTACAGCTACACAAATGTCTTCTCATTTAGACAAAGTGACTAGCTGTGAGGCTCTTGATAGACAGAAGAAAACACTAAGTTTACAAATTTGGGCTTACATGTACATTTGACTACCCTGACAAATCTTTCAAGTTATTAACTACTATGAAATGTGGTTCGAGACAATTTCGGTTTTCTCTAATGAATGAACCTACAGAATATACATGAGAAGAATGACATAGGTCCAGCCAGTGAGAATTTGGACTGAGAAAATAGTCATGAATCGAAATAACTACTGAGCCGTTTCTACGTTGTCTCTGATCTGCAATCAACAAACGACGACGCATGTTACAAATGGACATAAGTAATCTTATTATTTTCCGTTGACAGTTAGTCCTAAAGAACAGTTATGGTATAGTACTGTTGCTAGGAACACTGGCAAAACATACCAATAGCAGAAACCTCTGCAACTGAGGTTTTATGAGAAGTCGCATTTTGCAACAAGGGAACGAGCATTGTCATGCTATGGATTGAACCAGGAAGCTGCACTCCTAAGGTTTTCCCCTAGCGGTGATCACTGGGATATTACTTTTTCACATTTCGGCAACTCATTTTCATGAGAACACTCCTTGAGATGACATGGAAGACAGTTAAACAGTCTCTGATAGTTACAAGCTATTGCTAGTTCAAAGGATTCGAAAGATTATCTGATGTCAGAGGCCGTTTGGTATGTTTGTGACGTTTGGTAACTATAAGCAATGCTGCTTGTTTTAGACGTAAGCAGTGACAAGAATTTCTCAACAATAGAATAGGACAAAGTCTTCGGTAATGAATGAATGACTGCCTATTTGAAGCAGACAGTTTTAGCACGAATTTGACACTGAGAAGTAATAGGTTTGTTGACCAATGGTTAATTACATCTGAACCCGAGGTGGAATTCCCAGGTCTTATTATTTGATGCGGTTTTCTCCGCGATGCTGACAATTCTCTAAGTGACCTAGTCATATATTTTTAATTATTTAGGTAGTACTTCCAACCAAGATGTGAGATTTTATGGTATTAAATGGCTGTCATCTCAACTGAGTTTCTAACACGAAATCGCATAGTCGCATACTTGTTAAGGGTTGATGGCTGACAGATAACACAGAAAGTTGAAGAATGAGTGGTGAAACAAATGTGCCTGGGTAGTGCAGTGGTAGCACGTGTCCCCGGTATGAATGAAACGCTGGTTCGACTCCCGTCTGACGCCGTACTTCTTGCTCTCCACTCCATTCGAATAGGTATAAATGAAACATCAAAACACTGCAAAAAAAAACAGTGAAAATATTAGAATTTTTGAGATGTGAGGCTTGCACGTTTCTTACAATGGCTTCGTCACTATACAGCCGATCTTTACGAGACTGGTTGTACATGTGTACAGAATTGATTGCGGTTTGTGAAAAATCTACCTCCATGGGATGCATTTTTTCGGAAATGAATGCTCCTCAAAATTCACCCATTGACTTCATGAGCGTGAATGATCGCAATGCACTCATAATTTCTTATCAGAAGGAATCGCCTTATTTGTAACATTGGTAAGTAGACGTATTTTGATAATGAAACTCGGTCTAAAGCAGCTCAATACCTCCGAACATCGTCTAACCTATGGAAATACTTAAGGGGAAGAAATTTGCTCAACTCACATAGAATTAGTACTATTTCTACAGGCCATTATCTTCAATACATACTTGTCTAATCGTGAAGCACGCTTTGTAGAAAATAACATCGCTACTGACTATTTACTGCCTACATATGCTATCGACGTATATAATCTCAAAGATCTGTAAAAAGTTGAAACTTGCCATCAATGATGCAGTACCTGATAGTTATCCGAAATTTTTAGCACACCTCGATTCCTTCTCCAAAGCGCTACATTACTCCGGCGAATGTACACAATAATCTATAATTTATAGAATAGCGATCTCAAAAATAAATGAAAATCATTATGTATATTGCACAGAAGCTTTGAGAATCTCCCGACTTCGACCTATCCTATAGAACACGCCATGCATTTGTGTTCAATTTCATCTTTGCTTGAGGTGACTGAATGCATATCTGACTGTTATAATGACTTGCTGTGGCTTGCCCATGTATTAAGCCAGTGCTGAAATCTCCCAAATAGGCCCGCTACCAATTCATCGGCTCGTAAGGATGGAAGGCTTGATGAGCTCCGTGCATAGGATCGAATCATCGATTTGACTGAACGGTAAGGTGAGTCACAGCACCCCTAACCACTGCGCCACAGAGCTCTTGTATATAGATATACATATGCGACATGAAATAAACGTGTGATATATGCATATACATATATATATATATATATATATATATATGTATAACCCCCACTTCATTAGCATCAAAGCTTCATGACATTAAAAAATGGCCAGTTTTCCTACCATAGTAGAAATGAAATTGATTGGGAAAAATGAGAAGCATACGCTTATTGATGACACCACAGTGATTTTTGGCAAAGCATGATAACGAAAGAAAATAGCCACTGAAACAGTAATAGATAATAATGTAAATACCTAGTCACGCATTGCCGTTTCAACCATTAACTTGTGAAATTTCAACATTTGAAAACGATTTTTAGCTTTTTGTCGACTCCCAACTAGTCTTCTTCACATAACTTTACCTTATACTTATCCAAGATTATGAACTATAAACGGACTATAAACGGAAAGTGGCCTTGGTGCTGTAGTGGTAGCACTCGCTACGGTGAGGGTGAACCGCAGGTTGAACTCCTGCTTGTGATCGATTTTCTGTGCACTTTTTATTTTCCTTAGGTAGATATTACAGCAACGCACCACTGCTCGAGGGAAAAGCTTACAGACAGTGGACAGCAAGCAAATTGTGCGATAAATTACTATGTTACGAAGGTCTCTCTTTTGAACAACAATACGGTCTCAAGCATTTTTTGGGCACGTCTCCTTACATTCTCGAGGAAAACCTGGCCCTATCTTTTCCTAGAGCATTTGGTGCTGACTGCCGGAGTGTGTTTGAGGGCGAGACTTAGCCCACGCGCGTCTCGGAAAGCGTCACAGCCACTCGACCACGGCTTCATCCAGAACGAAGTGAATTAAGGAAAAACAGAACTGTTTATAACTAACTGAGTAGGAAGAATTAAATGGGGAAGAAGTAAATTAAAGAGAAGCAGATTTTTTCTCTAACTGTTCTGAATAAAATTTCCTTCAAAGTAATCATAATGCCACGGACCTCCTTCTTTGAGTAATCCCGCCCGGATAGTCGCGAGGGCACGTGGCGCGTCCCCAGGTGGTGGATAGGGGAATAAACGCGAAGCAAAGGCGACCGTGTGCTTCCCAGAGACGCAGGTGGATTCAGCCCTGCTCCTGCAGCGCCGAGTTGACAAAAACTCTAATTCTACGAGTCAATCGGCCAAAAGCCTGCAATCAAGCTGCTGGGAAGTACATGGGAGGCGGTTAGGAATCGCCTCCAACAAATAAGCTCCTCCCGCTCCTCCGAGAGAGACTAGCAAGCTACTTGTGAGTACCCAGCCCCCACGTTCAGAGCCTGGCAAGCTAAACATTGGGTATCAAAATGCCAAAAACAATAACAAATATGGGCCTCATTCCCCTGACCCCGAAAGAGCCCCTGGTACGGTAGCACCAGGTAGGGCGAGTACGGAGAGGCTGCTAAAATCTCAGGGCTGAACTAGGCTGCCAAGATCGAAACGGACTATAATGACGATCTGTACCTACAACGCAAGAACCCTTGCTCACGAATCGCTGTAGAAGACTATTGATTCAAGCAAGAAGAATAAGGTACGACGTCATTGGCTTGGCTAAGACGAGAAGGCGCCTTCCTTTTCACGCTGTTTCTGACACCGGAGAAGAACTGTTCCTTGGAACATGCGATCGCAGAGGTGTTGGCGACGTTGGCGTCCTCGTCAGATCGAATTTGATCGTGAACATTGATTCGTTTAAACAACTAACAATCCGTATCGGACGATTACGGTTGAAACGACGTGGTTCTATGCCGACTTTAACAATCTTCGTTGCTTACGCACCAACATCAATCTATGACGAAGACGAAGTCGAAGCGTTCTATATGGACCTCGAAAATTCTTCAGAAAAGATCATACATTCTTCAAGGTCATTGCCGGAGATTTTTACGCAAAAATTATACCTAGAAGAACGTCTGAAGAACGTCACATAGAGGCCCACGGACTAGAATGGAATGAACAGGGTGAGAGGCTGTCTAAGTTTATCATGACGACTCAAACCATCCATGGTAACTCGCAATTTCAAAACCCTCTTTCTCAACGATGGACGTGGGAGTCTCCCAGTGGAGAGTACCATAACGAAATAGATCACATCATAGTAAATCGAAGGTTTTGCCTGACCGACGTCGCTGTTGTTCCCAAGTTCTACGCGGGATCATACCATCGCCTCCTTCACGCAACGTTCCGATTTTCGAGGAGAGGAGTGAAGGCCGCTAAATTGAAGTAACGAAGCCCCAGAACTACCATAAACTGGGATGTATTCAAATCATTAATCGGCTTTTGGGAAGATACCGTTGTCGGCAACATCGATGAAGAATACGATCAACTCGTTGAACATCTACACGTTGGCGCTTTGAAAGTCGAGAGTCTTAAGGTCACGAAAAGGCGCTCGTCTCTGCAGATACTCGAGCTGATACGTCAACGTGCAATCGCACGAGCTACAGGCCACTAAAGCCTTACGTCCGAAATAGCGAAACGCTGCAGAGAAGCGATAAAAGAAGACCTCAAAGAGAGAAGAGCAGCAGTTATGGCAGAAGCTGCAGAAGCTGGGAAGAGCATTCGCAAAGTCCAGCGAGGCTTCGCCAACTACAAGACGAAGATCACTGCACTCCGATACCCTGACGGGACACTTACAGCTTCGAGAAGGGCTATGGAGAAAATCATCCAACAATACTACTCGGATCTCTTCGCTAGCCATGTCCTCTTACCGTCATATAAATTGAAAGAGGACAAATATGTCGTTCCACCGGTCCTCCCTTTCGAAATCCGACATGCTATATCGTCGGTGAAGAACAGAACAACACCCGGTCCAGACAGGATTAGACCAGAACACCTGAAGAACCTGCCGCCAGTTCTCATCAACACCCTGGCTCGGCTCTTCACTCGCTACCTGTCAGAATGCAAGGTCCCTATTCAATGGAATACCAGCAAGAGCGTATTGTTGTTCAAAAAGGGAGATCTTCACAACATAGGTAATTATCGCCCAATCTGCTTACTGTCCGTTGTCTATAAACTATTTACTCGAGTCATCCTAAACAGGACTGACAGAACACTGGACGAAGGACAGCCATGCGAACAAGCAGGGTTCCGATAAGGATTTAGTACCATAGACCACATCCATACGATCACAAGACTCACTGAAGTTTCGCGAGAGTACAAACAACCACTCTGTCTCACTTTTATCGATCTGAAGAAAGCCTTTGATTCAGTGGAAACAGAAGCGGTCATAGAGGCTCTGGATAACCAGGACGTCCCTACTCGGTACATAATAATCCTTCGTGAGCTTTATAAATATTTTACGACCAAAATATCTCCATTCTACAACAGTATCACCATTGAGGTAAGAATAGGGGTTCGACGAGACTATACAATTTCGCCAAAACTACTCACTACCACCCTACAAAACGTCATGCGAACATTAGAATGGGACGATATGGGAGTGAAAATTGACGGTCGACAATTAAACCATCTTCGCTTTGCTGACGATATCGTTCTCATGACACCGAACATCAGCCAAGCGGAACGAATGTTGAACGATTCCGATAACGCCTGTGGAAATATTGGTATTCATCTAAATCTAACGTAAACGATGTTCATAAGGAACGGTTGGGTTTCAAATGCCCCATTCACACTATACGGAACGACAATCTCCGAATGCTCCAGTTACGTCTATCTTGACCGTGAAATTAACATGATGAACGACCTAGCTCCAGAGATAAGCAGGAAGAAACGAGCGGCGTGGGGAACGTTTAAGAGCATCGAAGATGTAGTGAAGAGGAAAAAGAACATCCGACTCCGTGCCACCTTTTTCGATTCGACAGTTATCCCTGTCCTAACGTATGCAGCAGAAACCTGGTCGCCACGTAAGCAGGATGAAAAATCATTTGGTGGTGTGGAACGCGCAGTCGAGAGGTCGATGCTAGTAATATCCCGTATCTCGCAAATGAGTGAAAGAATCCGAAATTCCG